AAGAGTGGGCAAATATTGCAAAGTCTAGATGTGCAAAGTTAGTAGAGACATATCCCAACAGAATAAAGGCTGTAATTAAAGCAAAAGGTGGTTCAACAAAATACTGACACAAGGGGGTGATCCTTTTTCCAACTCTGTGATTCTGTTTTTTTGTTTTGTTTTTTTTCTGACATGTTGGTGTTATATCTTTCACTTGGATGTTATAAGTTACACTGAGTAAATACAGCTGGATAAAACAAAAATCGTGTCCATCTTCATTTTAGGCTGAAAAAGCAAAAAAGGTAGGGTGATTCTTTGTATACCCACTGTGTATACTACATGAAAAGTTTTGGGTAAAGTAAAAACATTAATATTGATAAATATTATTACAATTTAAAATAACTGCTTTCTGTTCTAATATATTTTATAATGCAATTTATTCCTATGATGGCAAAGCTGAATTTATTAGCAGTCATTACTCCAGTCTTCAGTTTCACATGATCCTTCAGAAATCAATCCAATATGCTGATTTGGTGCTCAAGAAACATTTCTTATTATCAATGGTGAAAACAGTGGTGTTTAATATTTTTGTGGAAACTGTAATAAAAAAAATTCAGGATTGTTTGATGAACAGAAACCTTAAAAGAACAGCATTTATTTGAAATAGAAATCAATTTCACTTTTGATCAATTTAATGTGTCTTTGCTGAATAAAAGTATTATTTTCTTTAAAGGGGTCATATGATGTTGCTAAAAAGAACATTATTTTGTGTATTTGGTGTAATGAAATGTGTTTATGCGGTTTAAGGTTAAAAAAACACGGGTTTCTCCCCTATGCCCCGCCTTTCTGAAATGTGTCGATTTTTAGAAAGCTCAGCGGTCTGAAAAGCGAGGTGTGCTCTGATTGGCCAGCTATCCAGTGCATTGTGATTGGCCGAATACCTCAAGCTTTTGACGGAAATGCTACACCCCTTACCATATTGTGATGCCCTGTCCGGCCGGAGCGCAACATAAAACCATGTCTGCATTTGTGATCGGAGAAATGACAAACAACAAGTGCTTCTCTACACTGCTCAAAACTCGCGTTTGAATCATCAGTAGCAAATCCTTTAAATATAAAAAAACGTACTTGCAGTCTGTGAGTCAGAACAGCCGGCATTGTAGTCTACTCTTCCAGGATCAGGAAACAGTCCTCCATAAAATGCGCTGGACACATCTGAATAGTTGGGTTAAACGGTTCTGGAACAGTGTTGTAAATACAACTTAACCACTGATTTCTAGTCGTGTCCTCTTTTGGAAGGCCAAACAAAGTAGATTCGCTTTCACAATGAAAAAGCGTCACACACCGCGGCCTTGAGTGAGTGGAGGCCGGAGGCCTAGAGTGAGCCTCGGCCTAGAGTATGCGGAGGCCGGCTTGAGTGAGCAGAGGTGGGCGGGCTTGAGAACGGCGCGGCCGGCGGATTCGACGAAGGAGTGTCCGGCGGGCTTGCGGCAACCACATGTGACGACCCCGGGCTGGACTCCACTTCGCCAAAGTAGTTTCGCTTTCACAACGAAACACAGTGCCTTCACGACATGGCGGAGGCGGCAACAACAATACTACAGACATGTGGGGGCGTGTTGGAACAAGCCGTTTTAGGTAGGTTTAGGTTGACTCTTAACTTTTATAAAGAATATCTCTTTGGATTTGAGACTTTAGTCTTTGCAACTTTACAGATCTTCTTTATGCACCAAGAGCTTGTAACACTCCAAAGAGAAAGGAAAAATTTAAATCGCATCATATGACCTCTTTAAAAACAAATCATACTGACCCCACACTTTAAGTTTGGCTGGTGGATAACCAAAGTCTACCAAAAAGTCAAATATAAAATCAGTGCACAATTATTAGTGAATGAGACCCAGTGTTCTTACAGTCAGTAAGCAGTTCAGCAAAGTAACTATGCCAGGCAACAATACTGTAGGTTAAACATTTTCCATCGTCAATAACATTAACATATACACGGGTGGGCTTCATCCATGTCATAACGTCCAAATGGCATCAGATTGACAGGATTCCCAAGTAAGCCACAAGGAAGCAGAGCACAACAGAAAGCCCATCCTCTGCGGTCCATCTTCTGCCACATCTGCCGCACGGTGCCATGTGTGTTTGGAGATGTCAAATACTTTCAGTCTGCTGTAAGGTGTGAACTGGGGTGGAAAAGAATGACTTAGCGGGGGCCACGAGACAAAGGCTGTGCTTTGTAGCAACCATGGAAAAAACAACTCCGCTTCTTTCTAAGAACATTATAATGTTTTTATGAGGTGGCGAGATGCACTGCACCCCAGATTTAAAGTACTGCTTATGCTTATGAGAGTTTATGACTTTAAACGCTTGTGTTTTGCTCCTATGAAGCGCACATCTGTTTGGAAAGAAGAGAAGCTGGCGTGTTGTTTCAGGTGGTGCTTTCTTTTCCCTTTATTAAATCGAGTTGGGTCAGTGTATGTAAGTGAAGAAACAGAACATCTCGTCTTCATACTTTATTTTTTCAAGCTATTGTTTGTATAACTTTATTGTTTAACTATCTCTACGAGTCAGAATAGACGGATAGTTTCAGGCAGTCCAAAATAGTGGAGCTTTTATCTCTGCTATGGCAATTATAGCTCTAGCTATGACTCTTTGACTTTGACCAGTCACGTAATGAGCAACTTCCATTTCAGAGCTTAGTTTTCTTTGGCCTGGTTAACTTCGTTCTGCTGGTTCCATCTACTCTACAGTCAGTCTTCATCGCAATCATCACCATTGTTCTCTTCACGCAGCGCGCTCGTCTACGGCTCCTGCGAGGCGTTCGTCTTTTGTTCCCACCACATGCGATGACACGGAGTTTTGCCTATATTATTCATAAGCAGCAGGAACGTGTGGCCTGTTGGAAGGGGATGGGAAGAAAAAACGGAACAAGAGACAGGAGAGGAGGGAAAGAGAGAGCTTGAGATTACAATGCTAATGGTAATCCACTACATAAAGATCAAGATGGTGGAATTATGAGAACTGTGAATTATGAACTGGGCAAATGTTCCTCTCAAATCCACAGTCACAACATCTAACCGCATTTTAAGTGAAGTGCACACTATGAGACTGAAGCTCGAGTTACTGTTGGTTAGGGATGTAACGAACCGCGAGCCGGTTGAAAATCGATTTAAATATGTGACGTTTCAAATCGGTTGAGATGCTAAACAAATCGCGAATCATTTAGCCGTAGGAGTTTATATGAATCCATGTCTGAGGGGCACTTACTGTCTTTAGAAAATTTTAGATGGTATTTTTTCTTTTCATCTTGCTTCAGTATAATGCATATTAAAGTTCATAAGTGCAGCACTGCTTTGTTTACAGCGGAAACCAAGGAAACGCTTTAAGCGCCTGCCTGCTGGCAGAGAGTGAATCTGCATTTCATTCAGCTCTGCTGTTTCATGCAGATATTTTTATGTTTAGTTTCACAAAACTGAAGTCAAACCATTCTGTTTTTGCTTCAAATTTCGAAATTATACAATCCAATTTAGATTAAAAACTGCTCATGTTGCATGTCTGCAGCATCTTTGTTTGGATCATGATTAAAATGCAGTGGTTGCCTCTAATTTTAAATGGAAAGAGCACAGACAAAGCCTTAGTTTGTTTATATGAAGAGATTTATTTTATTTGTGTTACTTATTTAATTTGGGGCTTGTTTTAAAATTTCAATTTAGTTTTGTTATTTACATTATATTTAAATTTTGTTATTTACCAGACGCTTTTATCCAAAGCGACTTACAAATGAGGACAACAGAAGCAATCAAAACCAACAAAAGAGCAATAATATGCAAGTGCAATATTGGTATATTATTATAGTGTTAGATTTCAATTTCACAAAGAAATGTGCAACATTTTGTCCAAGCAATTAACACATTTAATTGATCATTTGTCTTAAATCTCATTTTGTTAAAAAAAATACATAAATCATGAATCGAATCGAATCGTGAAATCAAAATCGTGAATTGAATTGTGAGTTGAGTAAATCGTTACATCCCTACTGTTGGTACAGTCTGAAGCAGTTTGTCTTCTTTTTCTTACGCAAGATCCAAAAATAACTGAACTGAATTATGGCTCGTTTCCACTGAGCGGTACGGTACAGTACAGTCCGATTCGGTACGGGTAACCCTGATCAGGCTTGCATTTCCACTGTCAATAGTACCCTTACTTGGTAGATGTAGTGTATACCGGAAAGTAGCGATCGACGATGAACCGCGACAATAAGCACAACTCTGCCTCTTTTTGTTAAATGTCAGTTTTAATGAACAATAATTGCCATTATAAAAGTATAAGTACAAAGTATAAGAGGAAATAAAGACAAAAGCAAATAGTTCCGTCAAACGTATGCTAAAGTCAGCGCTTTACTACGGTAAAGTTCAAATTAAATATATAAAGTTAAACATAACTTTGTGCTCAGCCAAAACGATATGACCAGGAACAAATAATCGATTCATGAGACCACGAATGCCTGTTAAATATATCCAACCCAAAACAAATTGTATCTCATATTTAATCACTACAGACACATCAGAGCCAGCAGCAAATGTCGGAAGGACTAGCCGAGCAAAGGCTGCTCTATGCGGATACATGAGCACTGAGTGCCCGGTGATCGCCTGGAGCTCCGAAATCGGCATAGCAAATTTTCAAAAAGGCGCTCTCTTTATAAATAAACCTCAGATTTGAGTTTTAAACAATTACATTCTCGCCTGAAAAACTCTTAAAACTACATTTCATGACACAATAACAGTAATATTTAGAAAATGACAGGTTTTTGGGCAATGATGTTTCACAAGTCCACAAGAACAGACAAGAACGCATATTGAGAAACGGCTATTGTATGTGTGAAAATATAAAATACACTTATATTTTTTTGTGTTTGCGTGCACTGATGTAAATAAGCCCAACACTCATGGACAGCAGAGCGGAACGAGTGAAGGAGAAGCTTTATCCCCTTGTATCACGCAAAAGTGACGATTCTAGTCAACCAATCAACATTCTGCAGTGAGTTTAGCTCCACCCTTTTGGTACCCTTTGCTGTGGTAGGTACCCCAACGGAAGGATACCAAAAAAGTGGTACGGTACGATTCGCTATTTTGGTACCATTCACAACTTCTGACAGTGGAAA